GAGCCTGGGAGAAGCTGTCCGGTCACACGCTCACCGAGCCCACAAGCCCCAGAATTCCCATCCGGCACGGACAACAAAGTCCAGCAGCACACGGCGTATAAGTCGTCTGACCTGTACTACAGCGACACAGCACTGTACTGTCCCTCTGATGAGCGGCGGCGCGACCGCTGGACGGAGAGACGACAGAGTGAGGATCAGAGCGGACGGATCCGAAGACACACGTCCACCGGCGGCAACCTAGACGATGAGAGCTTCCCTCTGCATGAAGACCCTTTCCGTGGGTTCGTCCTCAGATCTCTTCCAACCTCCAGCTGCAGCACGGCTTCAGACGAGAAGCTTCACGTTTCGTCTTTGTGCACAGACTGGCGCGATGGAGACTATGAGCGCAAGAACTTGTCCTCGTATGGAAAGGAACTTCCAGGTTTTCCCAAGTCAAGCAGCTCCCAGCATGTGGGCTCACAGAACGGCCGATCCAGAGACAGACGTGTCCTCGTCCCTGCGGACCCGACGGATGGCTGGTGGCAGATGAGCATGGAGGACATCAGCAGATTCTCGCCCTTCGGTTTCCCAGAGCACCACTTCAAGATCAAACCGGGTCCTCTTTACAGCAGCTTCCAGGATGGAGACAAAGTCTTCCACAGCCGCGTGCCGGATCCACGATTCCCCGCATCGGCGGGATCGAGTCCTGCGCTGAACCCAAAGACGAGTCTGAATGCACTGAAGGCCGAGAGAGGACTGATGTTGCGCTCAAAGGGTTCGACAAGCAGCTTTTTCATAACTGGAAACGCCGAAGACGAGGAGAGCACAACTAAAGACGCTTTACAGAGAGATCACGCTGATGAAAGCCCCGGCAGTTCAGCGGAGTCACTAAACCAGGGTCTGGACGTCCAGAAATACAAAGATCTTCAAAACCCTGGAGCTCAGAAAATTACGCCACAGCATCAAAAGTTTGGAAACGCTGGACTCAGTCGCAAAGACAGTCTGACTAAAGCTCAGCTTTATGGAACGCTGCTTAACTAACAGTCAGTAAAATGTACTGCAGTAAAATAAAGAACAATATGTGACCATGTTTGCAAACCATTTGGCTGTTGTGTTTGTCTGGAGGGACTTGATTTAGTCATGTTGAGATTCACTGGATAGTGGAACGAGTCTTTTCATGACCAATGGCTGATTTTACACATTTAATTCATCAAGTCAAATCTGAATAATTATCTCTGTAAACAAAAACAGAAATCAACAGCCATAAACGTCATCATACAGTTTGTTCTTTTACTAAGGCAGCTCCTGTGTTTAAAAACTATCTGATTGTAAATATGTTAATATTTCATCTTTAGGACTAGAGCAGATCATTATTCAGATGTATTTACGGCAGAGTTTTTCTAATAGTCAAAGTTTGTCAGTGATATTGAAAAACACTTGTTTTCAACCTAACATTGTTTTTATCTTCAAGGTACACCGACAGCCCCACAACATTACTGCTCTAGAGGAGATCTGGATGGAGGAATGGGCCAAAATACCAGCAACAGTGTGTGACAACCTTGTGAAGACTTACAGAAAACGTTTGACCTCTGTCATTGCCAACAAAGGGTATATTATAACAAAGTATTGAGATGAAATTTTGTTATTGACCAAATACTTATTTTCCACCATAATTTGCAAATAAATTCTTTAAAAATCCTACAATGTGATTTTCTGGATTTTTTTTCTCATTTTGTCTCTCATAGTTGAGGTATACCTATGATGAAAATTACAGGCCTCTCTCATCTTTTTAAGTGGGAGAACTTGCACAATTGGTGGCTGACTAAATACTTTTTTGCCCCACTGTACATACAGTATGTAAATGAGGTTCATTTATACTTTATATTAATATATAGACCAAAAGTGAGTGATGAGCTGAACTCGTTATTACAGTTAGGTCCATATATATTTGGACACAGGCACAATTTTTATTATTTTAGCTGTTGGCCAAAACATATTCAAGTTACAGTTATATAATAAAGCTCACACTGAGCTTTAATTTGAGTATAATTTAATTTGAGGGTATTCACATCACAACTGGAGGAAAAGTTAAGGAATTACAGCTCTTTAATATGTACCTCCCCACTTTTTCAAGGGATCATAAGTAATTGGACGATTGACTCAAAAGCTGTTTCATGGACAGGCGTGGGTTAGTGCTTTGTTATTTCCACATCAGTAAAGCAGGTAAAAGGTCTGGAGCTGATTCTAAGTGTGTCATCTGCATTTGGAAGCTGTTGCTGTGAACCACATCATGCGGTCAAAGGAGCTCTGCATACTAGTTAAACAGACGATTGTTTGGCTTCAAAACGGAAACAAATCCATCAGAGAGATAGCAGGAACATTAGGAGCGGCCAAATCAATCTCTCTCTCACACACACACACAGACACACACACACACAGCTGTATGGCGTTTAGACAGAAGTGCTGTATTAGAAATATCTGCTCTGAGAGGAAAGATCTTTGACTTTCTTCCAGCTGATGGAAATAAAATCACATTAGAAAACTGCTGGTGCCTAATAGATGCTCTTCCACAGCAGCTGAACCCATATCATCTCTAAAACATGAATAAGATTGTGTTGTAATGACAGGATATATTTCTGTTAAAGCATATACTGTAGCAGTTTCAGAAAAAATCTCAATTGACCCCAAAACATTGACTCTTATGACTGGTTTTGTGGTCCAGGGTCACAATTAATTTAACTTACACTGGATAATTCTCCTTGAAATCTCAAAAAATTCAGAGCCCGTGGGGTTCATGATGAATGATGGGATACACTTGGCCTCAAACAGCGCTCTGATCCGCTTTTAGAAACGGTTTCTCTCCTGTGCTTTAGTGTGCGTTAAGAGCACTGAACCTCGGTGTTTCACACTCTCTGAAGTGTCCAAGAGCACAAGTGTGTGTATTGAGACAAGCCCAGTGAGGACCGTGAAATATCTATAAATACCCAATTAAAACCATTTTAGAAATCTGGTTTACTTTGAGCAGAGAAATGAGAAAATGCTTCTGCTGGAACATTTCTAAATAAAGTCAGTTTTTCATTGTAGAAGCTCCAGGAGAGAAAAAGAGCATCCTCCAGTGAAACGATTTAAACATCAGCTCATCGTGATGAAGCAATAAACTGTGATTTACTGTGATACAGCCATGATTTCATCTCATGCTGCCAGAGTTTTGACACGCATGAGCATGTGTGGCGTCACTAGACTCATAAAGCGTAAACCTTACATGCATTCATGTTAATGCAGAAGTATGTATGCTCATTCAGACAGATGTGATTGTCGACAGCTAAAGTAACGGTGGTTGTGTGCGTTTTCCTCTTTCTACCTCACTAAAGGAGAAACGAATTCTAGACGCATGTCTCTATATTTTTGCTGTATTTTTCTTTACTAAATAAATCTGAACGATGGAACTGTTTTGATGTCATTCTCATTTCTTAGCGTGAATTGATGAGTATATTTAAATACAATACGTTATAATGAAAAATGTATAAAATATACACTACCAGTCAAGTCTCTTCTGCTCACCAAGCCTGTATTTATTTGATCCAAAACACAGCGAAAGCAGTAAAAATAATGAAATATTTTTGATCAAAATGATGATAAGACATTTATCTGAAATAGAAATCTTTTGTAACATTATAAATGCTGTTCTTCTGAACTTTCTATTCATCAAAGAAACCTGAAAAAAATCTACTCAGCTGTGTTCAGCATTGATAATAATCAGAAATGTTTCTCGAGCAGCAGATCAGCATATTATACTGATTTCTGAAGATCATGTGACACTGAAGACTGGAGGAATGATGCTGAAAATACAGCTGCACATCACAGAAATACATTACAGTTTAACAGAGATTCACACAGAAAACAGCTGTTTTAAATAGTATTAATATTTTACTGTTTTTGCTGTACTTTGGATCAAATAAATGCAGGCTTGGTGAGCAGATGAGACTTCTTTAAAAAATATTAAAAATAAAACTTTTGACTGGTAGTGTATAGAAAAATATAATGACGTTACACATCTTATCCGTTTTATTAAGGACACACAAAAAAACAAGTATAAAAGTAAACAAACAAGAAACCATGTAACATTCAGTGGATTTTACAGTTTAACATCATATATTGATTTGATTTGATTACCCATAAGCCTCACTGAGGACAAGCTTCAAACTGAATCAGAGTTTGGTGTCCATCGTTATCAAACACTGAGCGATCAGCTGATCAGCTCCAGACCTTGATCTCTCCCGTCCAATCACACGTGGCCGTGACGGCGGGAATGATGGGATGCAGCGCGGCGCAGACGCAGGCGTGTTGGTGAGCGTGAAGCGTGCTCAGGCTGCGTGAGCTCTGGAAGTCATAGAAGTGCACAGAACCCGTAGAACTGCCAGAGACCAGAACGCTTCCGTCCGCAGAGAACCCACAATGCACTGCAAAACCCTCCACCTGCAAACCACAACAACATCACAATTATTAAATCAGTCGCACCATCTTCTCTGGAACTGCAGCTGGAGTTAAAGGGGTCATGACATGGAGTTTTTTAAAACCATTTTAACATGTTCCTAGAGGTTTACTTATAATGTTAAAGTTTTTCACACACACACAAAAAAACTAAATATGTGGAAAAATGACCCTCATTCTGAACCGACCAGTTTCAAGGGGCGTGTCCTTTAAGGCTTCTCAGTAATCAGCAGCTGTTGTGATTGGCTAACATCATTTCATAGGAAACAGTATCAACGCCCCTCACTATTGCATGTTTTGACAACATAATCAAAAATAAAACGGTCATTTCCAGACAAAGCATTGTGAAATCATGTACTTATGGTTTGTGATTAGGTGTGCTCCGATCACAGATCACAGAAAGCAGTATCTGCCGATCTGATCACCGATACCCATCTTTTTAAAGCCTTCTTTTTATCATGTAACATGAACACACTGCCGGACTGGATTAGCTCCAACCCTGATCAAACTCAGCTACCTGTGATTTTCTA